TGTTATGATGTACTGTGATGTTATGATGTACTGTGATGTTATGATGTACTGTGATGTTATGATGTACTGTGATGTTATGATGTACTGTGATGTTACGATGTACTGTGCCACTGACTGAAATATCTTCAGCCCATCCCCAAAGGGGGGACATTTCTCGTTCGTATGCTCAGTAGAATTGTAAATGGGCTGATTCAACTCTGTCATGCTCATAACTGTGCCTGAACTACAACAGGGGACTGCTGCTTTTTCTTTCCTAATATTTACTATCGTCATTTTCCTCTACTTTCTTTTGTATGTTTGTCACACTCCTGTGAACTGCTATTTCCGGGGTGCCTAGATAGTCGAGGCAGACTTTGTGCTCTTGAAGTTAGAGAGGTGAGCCGAGTAAGTCTGATTCCCTGTTTGGACTTCTCTGTTGACATCCACCCCTTGGCGCTCATATGACCTTATGCAGTTGTGAGCGCCGTAAAAGCTGTACTAAAACATCGTGGATCAGTAAGAGAAATTTGTTGTTATCTAATCAGTGATTGTTGAAAGAATTTTGTAACTAATGAATGTGTGAAAAAGTTTAGTTCTTATTCTCATATGTAATGTGAGTGAGCTGTCAGAATGTCTGTTTAGTGGGTAGTTGGCGGGTGTTCTGGTGTGGTTTGCTTTTTCTTTCCTATCAAACATCTATCGTCTTTATCTCCCCTCCTTCTATTTTGTGTTTGTTACTCTCTTGTAACACCTCTAATCTTCGGCACTTATATGACCCTATTGTGTTGCAAGTGCCGTAAAACTCTTACTAAAACTAACTCTTTCTGCCTCAGGAGGAGGGAGAGAGCAGTGTGGAGGTGAACTCCCTGTTGGAGACCATGAGTCTTGAGGAAGCCAAGTACATGATTGAGAAACTGTACCAGAGGTCGCTGGATAAGGTAACTTGTGTGTACATAGGGAGGTGGTTTAGTACATGATGTGTTTATGTGTATATAGGGGGTATTTTAGTACATGATGTGTTAATGTGTACATAGGGGATAGTTTAGTACATGATGTGTTAATGTGTACATAGGGGATAGTTTAGTACATGATGTGTTAATGTGTACATAGGGGATAGTTTAGTACA